ACTGGCCTGGCCTCCCCCTTCTCACTCTGGCAAGGCCAGAATGGCAAGGGCTCCAGGGTGAGCAGCTGGGGCTCCCACCTCCCAGCAACTCCTTCCCAGAGCTCAGCTGGAGCCAAGAGGAGGTTTCCAGGCTGAAGACAGCCGGGCCACAGGCACAGACACAGCAAAGCCATCGCCTCTGCGCAGGGACTCAAACCCTCAGGCTATGTCTACACTGGCGGATTCTTGTGCAAGAACATGTTGCACAAGAGTTCCTGCGCAAGAAATCTTGCACAAGAAAATGTCCACATTGCCATGTGCTTTTGCACAAGAGCGCCCATGGCAGTGTGGATGCTCTCTTGCGCAGGAAAGCTCTGATGGCCATTTTAGCCATAGGGGTTTTTTGCGCAAGAGACCTCTGCCATGCGTCCACACTGCCCTCTTGTGCAAGAGCTCTTGTGCAAGGGGGTTACACTTGTCAGAAAACAGCGTAGCTCTTGCACAAGAATCCCTTCTTTCCTACGCTTTATTGTAAATCTTGCGCAAGAGCAGGCGGGCAGTGTGGACTCTCTGCGGAAGAACGGTGTTCTTGCGCAAGAACCCGCCTGTGTAGACATAGCCCACGTTATCTGATCCAAAGTTAGACACCTTCTCCTTCAGGCCACACAGTCCCCTTTCCCTTGGGAAGCACCTTGGGGGCTCAAACCCACAGGAAAGGGCCTGGAACATGCAGTGTCCGGCAAGCGGGAAGCACCATAGGGTTGGGGGCTGAGGAAGCCAGGGGAGGAGAGGGGGAGTTCTGGGAAATCCAGCGGCCATGGAGAAGCAATAAGGGCCGAGCACCTGGCAGCCGCCTGAGGGGAAAGGTGCCCAGAGGGAGCAGGGCCAGCCAGGCCACCGATGTCACATCAGCACTCAGGGCTCCTCCTCCTGCCCCTGAGCTCAGATCTCCCTGGGCCCTCCTGGGGCTGCCTTAGCCTCAGGCAAAGCCTCAAAGCTCTGGCTGGGCTGCTCCCCTCCTCCTCCCCATGCCTGAGAGAGAGTGGGTGACTCAAGCCCTAGAACCAGGGCTGGGGGCAGCTGGCCTGAGGGGATGGGAGCAGGGGCTGTGCCCTGGAATGTGACACCTGTCTAGTGACCCCTGATGCTTGTGTGAGCAGGGGGCCGGGGGCAGCCTCCCCACAAACACCATTTCTCTCCCCTGCTGCAGAGGCTGCTGGGCTCACAGCCCAGCAGGGCTCAGGCTGGGGCAGGGAGACACGAGTTCAAACCCTGATCACAAGAATAGACTGTTCTCCTGGCCCCAGAGGGACAGCACATGGTCAGGTTCATATCACACACAAAATGCTGCACTGCCCCCCTCTCGCCCATCAGTGTTTGAGCCTAAAGGTTTGTTATCAAGAAAGAAAAACCCAAGCAGGGTGACATTCAATAGCCAGTCACAGAGATGTCAGACCCATCCGATTCCCAGTAGCACAGAGGAGTCTGCAGGCATGACAGTCCCTCTGTGACACCCACTGCTCCGCTGGGCCAGTCATCACTTTTCTCAGAGCCATGTGCGCAGGAAGATTCCCCAGGAGCGAGACACAGGAATAGAGATACGATGGAGAAGCTGCAGCTTCTTCTTCTGTTCCCTTTGCCACATGACTTATGCCAGCCTGTGATGGAAGGGGAGGACAGAGGAGGCCAAGCTATGAGCCTCTAGCAGTACCTAGCCTGACTTCTCTCACTCTCCGAGGCTGACTCTGGGAGAGGCATAAGGATCTTGTGCACATAGGGTTTTTGTGCAAAAAACCCCAAGAACATCCACACTGCTTGTTTTTGTGCAAAACTGGCTTGAATAATGCTAATATGTGCTAATATGTGCTTCATTTGCATAGGCTCTTGCAGCAAAAGATGCAGTGTAGATGAAGCCCTAGACCTATATTGAGTATTGATCAGCTCTGTTACGAGACAGGGCATGTCTACACAGCAGTGTTATTTTGGGCTACATTGCAAGTTGTTATTTTGACATAATGTCAAAATCATGTTGAGCTGGAGGACCGCTTATTCTGACTCCTGTAACCATTGTTTCATGAGGTATTAGGTAAGTTGGAGGGAGAGTGCTGTTCCTTCCACTGCCTGCTGTGTAGACAGTGCCAAAAGCTAAGATAGCCTGAGTCAAAATAGTTTATGTCTACACTGCAGTGATATCCTGAAAAAGCTCTGCTGCATCCAGGAATGCATCTGCTTTTTGAGAACAGTTTCTGAAAAGGTGGACAAGTTCTTTCTGCATTCCTGTATTCCTCATTGAATAAGGAATATTGGATGTTCCGAAAGAGGAGCTTTTTCTAAAATTTGGCTCCATCTACACGGGGGCTCCATCTACAAATTTTGGAAAAGCCTCTTCCAAAAAAAAGGGGAAAAAGATATGCAAATTATGGTTTGCAATTTGTGTATCTTTTTCTGACTTTTTTTTCAGTCTAGATGTAGCCTTAAGCTACACAATTGGGCTACGTCTACACTGGCACCCTTTTCCGGAAATGCTTAAAATGGAACAGTTTTCCATTATAAGTATTTCCAGAAAAAGCGCTTCTACACTGGCAGGATGCTTTTCCGGAAAAGCACTTTTTCCGGAAAAGCATCCGTGGCCAATGTAGACGCGTTTTTCCTCAAAAAAGCCCTGATCGTCATTTTCGTGATCGGGGTTTTTTTGCAGAAAAGACTACTGTGCTGTCTACACTGGCCCTTTTCCAGAACAGTTTTTCCGGAAAAGGACTTTTGCCCGAACGGGAGCAGCATAGTTTTTCCGGAAAAACAATGACGATTTTACTTTTTCCGGAAAAGCAAGCGGCCAATGTAGACAGCTGGCAAGTTATTCTGGAAAAGCGGCTGCTTTTCCGGAATAAGTGGCCAGTGTAGACACAGCCTCGATATAGCTGAAGTTGCGAAGCTTATTTTGGCTTTAGCCCTGCTGTGTAGACGTACACACAGTGAAGAACAAAAGGGTCAAATGGTGCCTGAAGCCTTTCAGCATAACCTCCAGCCACCATCACCAAGTACCAACTTAATTGCTTATCACATAACTGTATCCAATGGAGTGTTCTCATGAGAGACATTGGAGGAAAAGGGGCAGCCCACACTCAGGTCCCATTGATGGTGTATTCACCGTTCAGTCTTGCTTCAGTAGGAAACGTGTTTGAACAGAGGAGAGTAAAAACCCCTCGTGGATGGAGGACGTGGCTCAGCTGATTCTCAGCTGTCTAGGAACAGGCTGTTTCTCTAATTCAGCATTTTTCTACTCTGTTGAAACAAATGAACAAAAAACAGTTTCCTTCCAGCTCTACCTCAAAGAGCATTTGAAGAGGTGACCTAGGACCCCATAAATACCTTGCAAAACAAGCCAAGCTCAAGCAAGATCAGGCAACACCAGGTGCAATCTACATTGCTGCCCAATACAGTGAGCCCATCAGAATTTCCCTGTGGTGGAGTAGGTGTGCCATCCTGCTACAGGAGTCCAGTGACAACATGCCACACTTTAGCCTTGGGGAAGTGTCTCTTGTATAGTACAACATTAACAGCATGTTGCCCCTGTTCTCTCGTTGTATCGGAGGAGTTTGTGGATCACCACGTGGAGTGCTGTTATGTTTGTGTGACAGATCTGTATTATGTAAAATTAAAAGCACTGTTTTAAAGACAAATTTCTGGACCACATTATAATCTGTAAACATTTAGGGTGCATCTATACTGCACCCTTAGCTCAAAATAAGCTACGCAATATGCAATATTTCAAAATAGCTTATTTCATAATTTGGCGCTATATACACAGAGCCAAATTTCAAAATAACTCTCTATTCCAAAATTCCCCTTAATCCTTGTGAAACTAGGGTTACCAGGACATCAGAATAAGCCGCCCCTTATTTCAACATTTATTTAGAAATACCAGGCTGCTTCAATAGATGCAGAATAGTTCTTGTGGAATAGTTATGTCAGGATACCTCTGGTATCCCGCAATAGCTCCTCAGTGTAGACATACCCTTAGATAGTGGCAAGAATTAAAGAAAGCCCTCAACAGGGGAGAGGAAACTGAAACTTGCATTTTGCGGTATATGTGGGGCTTGGACAAAAGAGATTGGTTTTGTTTTGGAACATGCCGTAGTTTTGGAACTCTACCAGCACTATTCTTCAAAGGAATGAAAATGCCCGTATTAAGCCACATAGATTCAGAGAGACAGGCTGAAAGTTATTTTTCAAATGCAATAGAACAGTGGTTCTCAACTCGTTTCAATGCACGGACCATCAGGCCAATCCTAGGTGACGCTATGGATGACGGGCCACGTGCTTGTGAACACGGCGTTAAACAGCCTAACGGTGGCACCTGCTCATGCCGTGTGACTTTGGACAATGTTCCTGTGGACCACCAGTTGAGAACCACAGCAATAGAATCTAACAACATTTATTAAAAAGTTATTTGTATAGAAGTAAGAAGTCTTATGTTTAAATATGAATCTTACTGGCACACATTCCAATAAGTGCCCATGACCTCAGTATTGGTTCACAAGACCAAACTCCCTCCACTCAGGGATGGAAAAACTTAGGGGAACACTGGCTACAAGTGTTGCCAGCTGCCCCACAGTCACAGGGGAAGGCGACTTTGGCTCCTGCGGCAGGAGCTCTGGCTGGAGACTGTTATGAGATCTCAGGACACAGACTGGTACAAATGGCTCCCTGCTGCTGTGCAGCTTCCAGCTTCTCCCCAAACCCTGATTGGTTAATTCTGTGTCCTGCCACCCCCACCTCTGCCTGTCCCCAGACCAGCTGTTAGTTCTGTCCCCTGCCCAACCCTCACCTCTGCCTGTCCCGTTGCTCCTCCTGCAGTCCCAGGAGTTCTTCTTTCTCCCATCCCTGGGGCTGGAGGGAGGGAGCGGGAGGAGCTTTCAGGCATCATAGAGATGAAGAGTCAGGGGCTGGGTAGAGGGGAGTGCTCCAGGGTCATTGAGATTGGGGTGTGTGAGGTCAGAGAGGCTGAATTCAGGGGCACAGGCTGAGCGGGGATCCTCTCCCCACCCAGAGCCAGGGCCGGATTCTCTTCCCAGGGAAGGAGCCCGGCGGGAAAGCGAAGATTGGGGCCTCGGCACCAGCATCAATAAATGTCACCTGCCCCCGGTCACAGTCCAGACAAACCCGGATCCTGCGAGGGGGACTCAGGGACAGGGGGGTCACAGGGGAGGTGAGAGCCTGGAATTGACCCTCCCACCGCTGCACAGCCCAGATCCCCCCCTCAGGTCTCAGGCTGATCCCTCCCTTCCTGCTCACAGACTCTCTGGCCACCCCCACAGCCCAGCATGGCCCATCCCCCATCACCACCTCCCAGCAATGTCTCCCCGAGGTGAACCCCTCACGGCCCAGCACACAGAGCACAGGGTCAAATCTCTCCGGGTTGTCGGGCAGTGGCTGCCGTGTAAGTTCCCAGCTCACATGTTTCCGATCCTCAGACAGGACAAGGCTGGGATGAGCCGTGTCTGGATCCAGAGTCACAGTCGCTGGGGAGAGAGAATCAGGGCGTGAGGGGCAGAGCTCAGCCCTGGGGGCGGCTGGGGCCATTTCTCACCCTCCCCAGCAGCCCTGTTGTGGCTGGGACAGGCCTGGGCCCCAGGGAGCTGCCTCTGCCCTGGGCCCTGAGACTGAGCCGAGCTGTCACTGCAGCGCCTCAGCCTGGGCAATGGGACCCGCTTCATCAGCTTCTCATTTGTGTGCAGAGGCTGCAGCCTCCTGCCCCCAGCTCGGGCTGCTCCATCCCCAGGACCAGGCCCAGAACAGGAGGGTTCAGTGGGGGGTGGGGGCAGAGGGGGCAGGTTCCAGCTTTAACCCCCAGAGGGAAACTCCCTCCCCTGCTGCAGGGCAATGGGACCCGCTTCATCAGCTTCTCATTTGTGTGCAGAGGCTGCAGCCTCCTGCCCCCAGCTCGGGCTGCTCCATCCCCAGGACCAGGCCCAGAACAGGAGGGTTCAGTGGGGGGTGGGGGCAGAGGGGGCAGGTTCCAGCTTTAACCCCCAGAGGGAAACTCCCTCCCCTGCTGCAGCCTCCACCCCCCGCCCAGGGCACAGAGGGAAGGGGGTAGCGCAGGGGAAGAGCTGCCTCACCCCAGAGAACAGGGCCTGGGCATTAGTCACCCCCAGGGCAGTGGAGGGTCCAGGGCTTTTCAGGACAGCCGGGCTCAATGGGGGGAGTCCAGCTCTGGCTTCCGGGGGCAGGGTTCTGGGGAAGGGGATCTGAGGTGGGGTCACTGGGAGGGGCCAGCACAGGGCAGGGGCTGGTGCCCAAGGAGGGGCTGTGCTGATCAGCTGCCCCGACACAAAGCGCAGCCCCTGCCTGCAAAGTCCCCTGCCCGCAAACTGCGCCCATAGTGAGAAGTGGGGGAGGGGGGGTTTCCGACCCTGAGGCTCCTCACCGCTCACTGGGCAGGTTTGGGGCTTTGCCTGTCGTGGTCACTGGGGGTTTGGTTGGTGACTTGAGCTACAAGCTCAGGAAAATGTTTTTAGTCTCCACTTGAAACCTCACCCTGTCTGAAAGGTCGTCTTGCTCTCTTCAGCACAGTGGGCAGCGTGTCTGGTGGGGGAAGGGAGAAGAAAGGTGAGACTTCAGGAATCCATATTGCCCATGACATGCCCAATCTGAACACACAGTCCCAGGTTTTCATTATAGCAGAGACGCAGTTGTGGTACGTCTATACTGTAGAGAAGATCGAGGATGCTGCTTGGGTTTTCATTATAGCAGAGACGCAGTTGTGGTGCATCTACACTGCAGAGAAGATTGAGGCTGCTGCTTTCAATTTTCCAGGTTTGAATTAGCAGTCAAGTGAAGACAGCTAATCGCACTGAGGGGCGCTTCTGTCGGTGCCGGTAGCTCTCAATGCACGAGGAGTAAGGGAAGTCAGAGGCAGAGAGCTGTTCCTACCACTGCCTGCTAGGTAGACAGCGCCAACAGCTGAGTTCCGCTACTTTGACTGCAGCTATGCAGTGAACACAACTGAAGTTGCACAGTTTAATTCAACTTTATCCCGCAGTGTTGATGTATCCTCAGGTTTGAATATAAAAAGGTTTGAAGCCTCCTACTTCCTCTCTCAATCAGGCCTCTCCCAGCAATGGAACCCACGTCCCTGCAGCCTCAAAGCCAGCCCAGGACAATCTGTGGAGAGATTCGCTTTCTCCTCAACATCCCTTCCCCCACTACAGACTCCACTGCGTTTGGCTCATTCACTTCCTGACATTTGTCACAGCTGAGGCCCAGATCCTGCAAAGACTTTGACCTCAAAGCAGTTTCATCCACTTGGGCAGATCCTGCAAAGACTTTGGCCTCAAAGCAGTTTCACCCACTTGGGTCCCTTTGATATAAGCGGGAGGTTCAGAGTTTGCAAACTCCTGGCTCTACCTGTGAGCCGTGGGGTCTGTGTACTCAGCATCTCTGCAGAGAGCAGCACGGAGCTGGGCGTGTGTCTGTCTGTGTGTCTGGGACAGCAAGTGGGCGCTTGTGTTCCAACAGTTGCTGTTATTACAAAGCAGCTTTTGGAATAAATAAGGTTCGATGAATCACCTGAGTGTCTGTGACGGCAAGTGGGTGCCATTCTCACCTCACAATCAACAGAAGCTTCATCTAACGAGGAGCCAAATGACCAGCATCGGTCTCTTTCCATGGGCTCAGACACTTCACTCACTCTTCCCTCCCCCATCCCTTCTCCGTACCTGTGAACTCCCTCAGCGTCTCCGACAGCGCAGTCGTTTGCCGGGAGAAACCCCTGACTCGCTCGCCCAGTTCAGGGGAAATCTCCTCTGGCAGCTGGACCGGCCCAATCTCACACCTGGGGATAGACAACGTCACATGGGGACACTGCACTGAGTGACTCAGTTCTCCAGCTCTGGCCAGTGAGTCGCTGCTCTGCTGGGCCTGGAGTTCGAATCCCTCCAGTTCTCCCAGCCCGAGAGCAGGGGCAGCGCAGCCCTTGGCCCTGCAACGTCCCCTCAAAGGTCCCATGAACAGTCTGCAGCTCTGGCCTGGGGAGACCAGCTGGGGGACTAAAGGGGAACTGAGTCTCCACGGCCAACTCACCCCTTGGCCCCCAGGCGCTGAGGGGCAGGAGGTTCCCAGGGGAAGGGCTGTAGGAATCTGCCCACTAGGGACTAGACTGAGACACCAGCTCCCCCCTCCCCAGCCCATTCCCACAGGTCTCCAAACAGCCCTCGGGTGGGACAGACTCTGGGTCCCTGCTGCCCTGGGCTGAATGTGCCCAGTGCC